GGTTACAGCCCTTAGTGACAGCCCTGACTTATAGGGGCCATGGAGCCTAGACAAGCAGTCTTTTTTCTAATACTATTTGAGCGTAGCTAATTGCTTGCAGATTTTAAAGAGTCTAAGAAACCTTTATAATGGAAAAGGCCCTAACGGAATATTTTAACAAAATGTACATTCCATTTTATGGAGTCTTGGAATAGCCTGCAAATTTGGGCATAAATCATAGCATTTTGCTTTTTAGACATTAAGTAACTTTTTCAATATTTTTGTCACTGATTAAAATTGCCTGTTGTTATAAAATGTTTTGACTAGCGTGCAATGTCACTCATGTTCTATCCCTGGCCCAAACTGCTGTATTCAGGTTATGTCTTGGCCCTGTTATGTGATAAATGTGCTCCACTCTTCTAATCTCAATCCTGGATTATTGTCAACTGGCTTAATTTCATCATCCTTGGAAAAGTCCCCTTAAAATTAAAGCAATTACCAGGCAGTGACCCAAGGTGGGATTGCTCAAAAGCAGGTTAATTCTGATCCAGGACCAAAAGTATAGAAATGTTTTTCACTGCTTATGTTTTGTGTAGTTTGAGACCACTCAAGCTCAAAACTGAAGGACAAACAATATAAACAGAAAACCTCACTGAAAATGTACAAAAATGAAATCAAAATTCTCGCTAATCCTGGGTTAGCTTAATCGGGCTTTGAACAACCCGGCCCTAGATTATTGTTAGCTGGCTTAATTTCATCATCCTTGGAAAAGTCCCATTAAAACTAAAGCAATTACCAGGCAGTAACCCTGGGCCGGATTGTTTGAAAGCATGTTAATGCTGACCCAGGACTAAAAGTATAGAAATGTTTTTCACTGCTTATGTTTTGTGTAGTTTTGTGTAGTTTGAGATCATTCAAATTCAAAGCTGAAGGACAAACAATATAAACTGAAAACTTCACTCAAAAGTTACAAAACTGAAATCATACTTCCTGCTAATCCTGGGTTAGCTTAACCAGGGTTTGAACAACCCGGCCCAGCTGCTGGAGTAGCTGAATTGTGTTTGAATGACAGGGCCCAGCAATCTATCTAAGGAATAATTGTCACTATTAGACCTGTTGATAATTTTATTCTTAATTTTTGAATACCATTTTATATAGTGTTAATATAGAATTTGTGGCATTTTTGGTGATTCCAAGTCTGTAATCCACTATTGTGATGTTATAAGAATATTTTATTAGCAAATACATTGCAGCAGTATTTATATGATCAAGGCAGGTATCCTCCTTTAGGAACATTGAGCCAAGAAATATGGAGTTGCTGATTGTGTGTTTTTAGACCAAATGTAGTATTATTTAAATTAGATTTATGATATCTTTTATTAAAGTATTTATTTATTGAATTCCTGATTTTAGGCGTGCTGACTGATAATTACCATGGCAGGGGGCAAGTGTTTAGGGTTAAGGGAATAGGGGCTGTTTTTGGTAGATATGACAGTTGCAGTACTTGAAGAGGCTCTGATCTGTTCACTTGGGTGAGGAAAACTGCAGATTTATTTAATTTGGATGTTGCCCTTGTCCACTGACTGTTTCATCGTCGTCGTCATCATCATCATCATCATCATCATCATCACCTTTATTTAAAAACGCAGTAAATACATCAGGCAATAACAATTTAACATAAAAGCTACAACTTATTACAAAAGACTGTGTATACAGATTAATCTTCTATTTGGAAAGAGGGAGGAGGGGGTGGGGGCAGGAAACTTCTGTACTGAAAGACTCAATTAAGATCTTTGACCAAGAAACTTGTAGACCGTAAGGGGATAACTTTTTCAGAGTTGGCAGTTAATAAGGTGAGGCAGGGGAGTGGGAAGATCTAGAATGCGGAAAAATGGCTTCAACGGAAAGACAGGGGGGTGTTGGGGGGACACTGAGCTGGGAAAGTATGGATAGTAGTCTTATGATGGCATCTCTAATTATAATGCACAGCAAAACTCAGTCAATAGCCCCAAAATAGAGTTTCTGACGACGTAATTTTTTTTCTTTTTTGTAAGGACCCATGCTTTACATCCTTTATGGACTTAATGCCTTGGACCCTCTATTTTACTTTGTATATAACAACATCAACTCAAATCCAACGACTAGCTAACTAGTGTTTGAATTTCCAACAAAAAGCTTTCTGTTGAGTAGTATTTTTGGGTAACGTTTGGTGGGTCCTAGCATGATGCTGAAATGGTCACGGAAATGTAACGCTTGGGCCTCGAGATGAAACGCAGAGCGGTACAATAGAGGTCTGGGGACTAACTTTAGTGAACTTTATCCAGAATATTGGCGGGAAAAGATTTCTGCTCTGCCCAGTGAGGATTGTTCTGTTAACAATCATTCTGAAAATTAAGTATAATTTTTGGTAAGTTCAGTCATTTTTCATTGATCGAATTCAAACCAACTGCGTCATCTCCGCTGAGCTGACAAGCACAAAGTGAATGAATGAAATTTGCATATTCGCGCGACACCTGTCAACGAAAAACCAGATGCAGTTGAAAAACAACAACTTTCGATTTCAGCTGAAGCTAAACGCGGTCGCGTATTAAACTAGCTTGTCGTTTTTAAAAAACATCGAGTCTAAATCAAAATTGTTCTCTCAGTAGATAATGTTATCGCCAGAAGACTCCATCGAAGAATGCAAAGAGGCATTTTACCTTTACGATCGAAGAGGAGACAAGAAAGTTGAATGCAGGCAGATCGGAGAGGTTATGCGAGCGCTCGGAACGAATCCGACTGAAGGCGAAATTGCAAAAATTATTAAAAGTCTTGATCCCGCTGGAACTGGAGTCAAGCGAGTTACCTTCGAAGAATTCTTTCCAATATATCAAAATCTGCGAGATAGACAGAAGAAAAGTGGAGGTAAGCTCAAGTTTTGAACGTTTTCTGTTTTCGACAGGCTCGTTTAACTTTGAAGAATTGTTTAAAATTTTTACGGCTCTATGAAATAAGTTTTCATTTTTTTTTCTCTATATTAAGCTTACTTAGTACGGGAGAAGTTTTTAAGGCCCCAAATAAAACGGACTAGTCTTGGGTAGTGAAAGATACGGAAATAGATTATATGCTGCCGTTTTGTAAGGGAAACTTTTGGCATGCAGATGGCGAGTATCTCTGCCAAATAATACGGAAAACAAAACTTTGTTTTGCTTTTGGTATAGTCTGAATTTCACTGCATAAATGTAAATCGTAAATATAAATGTAAACTTAAATGATAGAGAGGTGTCAGAAATCGATCTTATTCTAAATCAAATAAGCAATCAATTCAAGAAACAACTTAATCATTTTTATTTTATCTAGTAATTTTGATGATGTGCAGTTGATTTTCTTTGTTTTAGTCTAAATACGATGCACTAATAGAAACTAGGTAGTTTATGATACTGGTATTAGTAGATGAATCTTTTTTTCATATGGTATCTACAGAAGTATGATAAATTAAAATGATTTTAGCAACTTCGTGATATATTGACATTTACGAACTGGTTCTAGTTTCTGAACAAGGCAACATTTGTTTGTACTTAAAATGTTAGCTATTTAGTTTTGGAATTAGACTATTTTATTATTTAATTCTAGCCATCTGTCATTTTATCCTCACAATTATGCTCAGAGCGGACCGAAATCTATCATGCTCGGTAAAATTATACCTTTTCCTTTGCCATGACCAAGAGACCATGACTGAATCAAATTCTAGTTTTTCAATGGGAAACAAGAATTTGATCGGATTTTCAGGATATTGATCGTCTGTAAAAGGTTTAGACCTTTTTCGCATTGCAATAGTTTCTTTTTTGTTACTTTACTGGATCCTGGCTACAAAAAGGTTAAAACAGAAATCTGCGGGGAAAATGATTTCCTTTTTGTATAGATATCAGCACCATATCTCTAATGCCTGTTATTCGACCTCGTTCTGTGGAGTAACAAAGAGAAACTAGAATAAGTCTGAGGTATCTGTGACGGAATGCAAATTTTCACAGCTGGTCTGCTCTGTCCAAAAAAGGATTGCTTCTACTTTGAGTTACAAATATTTATGAATTACTCTTCCTCTCGCTCTTCGCAGTCGGGTATTGCAGCGCCCATTTTCTCGCTCGACTGCATGGTGGGTAAGTCTATACCCTTGGGAGGCGGGGGGGGGGGAAACTCACATACAAAAAGGACGGGGGTGCTCATCGTACCTTTTAGGGCTTAAAAGAGCGGTTTTGGTATCTCTTAGAGTGTTCGGCCTCAAAAGGTCCAAAGCGGGAACTTTCGCGGTACCCTTCAGGGTATTCAGCCGAAACAATATGACAGGAGATAATGTGCTGTTTTAGAATTTATACCTCTTGACCGACTCCCACAAAACAGGATCGTGGTACCTCTCAGGGGTTCTTTTCAAATTTTTGACGAGTTCCCCCCGGGTCTATGTCCTATGTCCCCTACAATACCATCACGGACCAATTACCAGATACGAGGGAAAGAACTGTTTACTGATTTTATTTTATTGACCTCAGTGTGCGTTATTTCTTTCCATTTTAGTTGATCCTGAATATTTTATTGAATGCCTTCGCGTCTTTGACCGCAACTGCAATGGGTTGGTGAACGCGGCCGAGTTACGTCACGTGCTGTGTAGCCTAGGTGACAAGTTGACAGCTGAGGAAGTTGATCAGCTTTTGGTTGGGTTCGAGGACAACCAAGGCCAAGTACTGTACGAGGAATTTGTAAAACACATCATGTCAGGATAGTTACACGAAAAAATTGCGATTCTTTGTTACTGGAAGAAGATGTCACTTTAGAGTTTGGACGTGTTGAAAGTTTTAAGTTTCACTGAGTTAGGAAACTTCTTTTCGACGATGCGAACTGAACAGGGAGCCGATGGTGATCGCGTTTTGTAATGGCCTTCTGTTTATTTCGGGTTTTGCCCTTATAATTGATGGAATAAATGTTGATGTTTTTTTTAGCGTCATGATTGCCCCTCTCTTCTTGCCTTCCTACTATGGATAATTCCGGCTGAAATCTGCACTAAAAACCTGATATCCTCGCCCACTGATTTTTATCCTAATTTGTATCGGAAGTTTATAAAATTCGGTTTGTATTCATCACTTTTACAACTAAATATTCTGGCTGATTTCGACATACACCGGCGATCATTGACAGGACAAATCACATCTCATTAATTGACTTGGACTCGGTAGGTCAGCGACTACCTCACTAATGCCTCACTTATGGCATACC